CTAGGAATGGTTGGCAGATAGAAACCACACTTCAAAGTGGGACCTCTGAATATGGGACTACAAAAACTGGAGGTTTGTAAAGAAGCCAACTTTAATCAAGGCAAAATAGATGAAAACTTTTGAAGTTCGTACTGGCAAGAATCTTCTACTTTACTGTCAGACATGCAGAAAAGCATGCCTGCACTGAACCCAAGGCGAGAGCAGCTAGTGAGATGCTCCTCAAGACTGTTGCATTCGGAGTTGGGCACAGAATTACACTCTGAATAAAGATGAGACTGGAAGATATTCAAATGTTAGACAAACTGCCTGAGCTGTGTTATGAGGTGTTGGCAGTTCCTGCCCAATGTGATTAGGCAAATTATGATTGATAATTACCTTTAGCAAAGTTACGCTCCTTTCTCCAAATAGACCGAGAGACTGGGCAGTCCATCCATATGATGACCTGTCAGGGGGATGCATACTAGATATGGAGAACACTCATGGGTGGAAAAGATATCTATCTCAAATGGGCAAAGAAAGGAAAAGTAATTGAACACTTTCAAAGTGAAGATTCTAGGAGAGAGTGAGCCTGGGGTGAGCAAGAAGCCTATCTAAAGCTTAGTTACACACAAGGAAGCGTGAATCCTGTCTTAGTGATAACTGTTACTCCAGTTGTGATCCCATTTTCTTCCGTGTCCTGTCTGTGCCCCGTCACTATGCTGTAAATCTTGTCAATTCCATTCACAAGCTTCAGCATTATCCTCTATTACTCAGACAGTTAGGGTTTCCTAATCTCTCCTTTGTTAGTTGTACGGCACCGCATAACTCTTATTTCTCCAGACCACTGCCCCTATCCAGTGTTGATCCCCTTCCCCATGCTCATAGCTCTTTAATACCCTGTCGATGTATTTCACATATTCTTCATTTCTAGACTATAACCTAATGATTTGATAATTTTACTGAATGATGCAACCATCGCCACAATTCACTTAAGGCATTTTCATGCCCTAAAAAACACCCCTTCTTGGTTGTTTTCTCTCTGTCCCATTTTCCATGTGGAAAGTCGATTCACATTGCTGAAACAGAGAGCTCCAGACAGGAGTGAGACAAAATTACATGTACACGCCATATAGATTGAATCTACCTGACAAATCCTGAGACATTTGGGAAAATGTTCATAAAATTTACAAAATGACGGAAACAATATCTCCTTCAAATTATAATATTTAAGTAAGCATAATATTTTTTAATAATTTAGATTTAAAATTTTGAAATTTCACATGACAAATTTGGGTTAATTCTCTCTAAAAATTCATTTATGCAATGAATATTTTAATCAAAACACATTTCTCATATGTAATTTTCCTATGGTTGTTAGTAATAGCATCTGTAATGAATTGGATATTTAGCTGCAGCACTTTTTAAACCATTTAATTAAAACTCATAGATGTTTAAAATAGAATCTTTTGAAAATAAATTTCATACTGATTGGGAAAATATTGATTGCAAAATTCTATCTTGGCTGTAATAAATAATGGAGTGTTTTTGTATCAACAGTCTTTTCCCTTGTCTGCTAAGTACAGTTTAGCTGGAAGTTAGCTAACAATTAAGCCAGCATGTCAAAAAGCTTAACTGCCGCCTCAACCAATTTTCAGTCATATTAATAACAACTGTGAAGAAAACACAATTTAATAAAAATGCTTTGATGACAAATCCCAACAACTGTAACTTGTTTCCTGGATCACATACAGCTTCCAAAGTAAAATGAGGTCTGCTGAAAAGCTTTTCACCTTTTCATATCAGGACAGAAATTTAATATCAAATGATTTCTTTTCAATCCATTTGGAGCCATAAATAATTCCCCTGAATCAGAAATACCAATCATTTGCATTTCTTTTCCTTTGACAGTCATTGTTTAGCTAGAATATGTTTCTTAACTGAACGGATTTTTTTCATTCTTGAACTTAGAGATTATCCTCTCTTTGAAGAAATTCAAAGTATTCTTTCCCTGAATGCCAGGTAAGCTCCTCTGTATCCTGGAGATGCATTAGGAGGCAGCAGAGTCTGTGGAGTCTGAAGTCTTCCTGTGGATTCCTTCTCTCACTTGCTTTATTTATGCCACAGTTTCCCCATGTATAAAATGAACAATAATACTCTTGAAGTGTGTCCCAAGGACTAGTGCTCATGATTATTGTATGGTCAGTACTTCAGAAGAACTCACTACTTCACTAATGTGTAGTCAGTATAAATCTTTTTGTTGTGTATTAACCTTATAATTTAGATAACACTGGGATTTTTTTATTTGACATTAACTGCTAGCTTTGGCAGTCTTGATCCACACTTCCAAAAAACAGTGTAAGACTAACTCACTTCTCTGCTCAGAAAAGAATCCATCACTTTGACACACATAAACCAACAGAGAGGCTCTAAGATATGCCAAAACACAAAATTAGCACTTTTCTATAACATATGAATACTCCACATTTATTTTTCTTTTGAGTAATTGTCAATATAAATATGAACAATTCTCCTCTAAGAATGTTTCAGGCCCCTTACTCTGCTACAGATTGTGTCAGGAATATTTGTTTTGAATCTTCAGAACTTCTATTTTGTTATCATGATGCCAAAGTCAATGCCATTTTTTTATAGGAAGGTTCTGAAATGTAGGCAGAGGATTTTATTATTGGATTCCACACAACTCATGAATATATTCAGCAAATGTTTTCATGTAAGGCTGTGACCTAGGCAGCAGCAAAAAGAGAGAGAGAGAAAGATGAATACAAATATTTCTGCCTGAAAAGTCTTTACTGATATATATAAAAGTGCACACATGTGCATTCATGCACACAAACACATACATATGAAATTTCCACATGTTCACACAAAGAGAATTATGGAGATAAAATAAATACTACAAAATTTACATTAAACCAATGCTATTCATTTCTAAAAGAAAGAAATTAGATAATTATTCATAAAAACAGAACTAGTTCTTTTGCTTCAATTTTAGCAAGATATTTTTTAGACCAAAAGTGATCATTCAGCTGCAAAACAGTAGCTTAGTGAACAACTATGTTTTCATGTGTGATTTATTCATGGATCCTATTACTTACTGTTCTTGGTATGTGACACTTCCCACTGAGCCAATTTCAAAAGTCTATGCTGACCACACCTTATGAAAATCCAGGCTGGCCTAATTTCTGTTCAACTGTTAAGTTCCATGAATCAATTACCAGTATAACTCAGGGGTTTATATTTTCAACCCAGATAATATCTCCTAAGCATTTAATCTTTCAGGTTAAAGAATGAATGGATGCAGACAGCTTACAGATTTTTCTTTCCAGCTTTGAACTGTACTAATAGCCTGATGTCTTTGAAATATACTCTCAGAGGAATCACAGGCACAGTATATGTACAGAAGCCAAAGAGTAATTTAATATTTTATGTTTGTTTAAACAGAAATAAGAAGGCCATGTGAAAGCCAATACGAAAAATTATCTCTTCAATATGTTCTTAAAAATTCAGAAGTAGAGATTTTTGACAAGGAAATTTTCTGTATAGTTATCAAATAATCAATAAAGGTTCCACTTTAGCATTATTTTGAGCTCTTATGATAGTGTATTTGTGTGGTCTCTGAAGTTAAAAGGCACATTCACACCTTTTCCTCATTCAAGAAAACAACTACTTTGGGAATCCAATGTTACATTTTTCACTTACCTTTCAGAGAACAAAACTAAAGTTCATTGGAATAGTAATTAGCAGAAATATGTGCCTTATGTCTTATATCCTAACAACTTACAGCATAACTTATACTTACCAGACTTACCTGATGTCGACAGTGCCACCACTAAGTAACTTAAATAGCATTAGAGCCCTCTCCTCTGGTAGAGGACAGGACACACTCCACTTTTCTGTCTTTTTTCAACAACATTTATTATTCTGAGAACTGAAATGGAAGAATGCATAGACACACATTATTATAGAAATAATTACTGTAATGATATTCAACAATATGTAGAAAAGGTTACCTCTATATTTATATAAATTTTAAACTTATTGGGTTGAATCAGAGTGTGTAGATCAATGGTTAGTTTCCTCTTAACTCACATTATGAAAAAAAAAGGAAATGAATGTCTAAGACTTTTACTCTCTAAGTTGTTTTTATGGTCATGAAAGATGAGTAAGTAAGTTCAAAGTGGAGCCTATTTAAAGCTCAAATCAAACAGTGGAATGATGTTTTAATAAAATAACAGTAAGCAAAATTAATGAAAACAACATCACTTTTAAGAGATTATGAGCACAGAGGGGAACGCTATATAGAGAGAAACAGGATGTGGTCTTGTTTGCCCAATCACAGGAGATGAGAACAACCAGTAGAGAGATAACTACTGTACTGTCAGCACTACTTCCACGTAAGACCTTCCGCAAACAGAATGTACCAGTCCTGGCAGTTAGAGGGAATTCTGTTAGTGTGGAGTTTGGCTTCTCTTGTTGAGCACTTATTATTTGCAAACTACTATACTAGCACTTTTATTTTCTGCATCAAACCTTAAAAATTTAGGAACATTTATCATCTGTAGAGAAGAGAAAATAGGCACATGGTAGGTCAATCATTTCTTCCTTGTAAAGTACCACACTCCCATTAGGTAATGAATCCCGGCTGTGGTTCTAGGCAGTTTGACATCAGGATTTTTCACTTGGAGAGACTATCCTTTTTAGAGTCTCATATAAAATGAAATATTTAGGAAGATCTGTATACTAATGTAAATATTTATTTATATATTCTTAGCATCTTAAGACCCTACTTTTTACCAAATTCATTTTTAAATAAATTTGCTTACATGTAAGCATACACATATGTATGCATGTAATTTAACAACTGAATAAATTTACTGAAAATATCCTTATCTTTTACATGCTCTTAACAGCTCATTCTTTTTAAGAGTTCCCTGTTTCTCATGGTTTTTCCAAATGACTCTTTAGCAACCCAAGGTAGTAGTCATCTGCTTTCTCCCCCCTAGAAGCTCAGAAGAAGCAGTTGGAGGAGAGTATAGAGCTGATCCAAGACGAGTGTGTGTCAGAGAATGCAGACCACTCCACAGAGGAGCCTGCTGAAGGAGGGCAAGAAGCGGATGGAGGAGAAATGACTGATGGGGTAGAGGAGGACTTCGATGAAGATGGGGGTCACGAGCTGGTAGGAATGCAATGTTTGGTGTCCACATCTGTTGGGTAGCAGCAACAGCATTTGATCAAAACATCCATTCTAAAATAAAAATTAAATCATTTGGGGTTTCTTTATCTTTTGTGAATATATTCAAAGGAACATCAGTACAGTGCTTTGCACATAGCAAGTGCTCAATGTATTTTTTATTAATTTAAACAATGAGGGTGAAAATGAACGTAAAATGTAAGTGCTACATACAATGCTAGGTATAATAAAGTCCCAAATGTAAGACTTTCTTCTGCACATTCTCTATCATAAAAGAAAATGTGCATTTGTACAATTAAAGGTGTGGGTGGACACAATATGATGGTGACAAAAGCCATCTAATTTTTTTCACGATTGTTTATTTAGCTATTTATTTTGTCTGTGCATGTACACACATTTGTCCAGATCAGAGAACAGCTTGCTGCAGTCAGTTCTCTTTTTGCAGCATGTGGACCCCACAAGACTCAGAATTGTCAGTCTTTACAACAAGCACACTTACATACTGAGGATCCCAACTAAGGTCCTCATGCTTGTATGGCAGGAACTTTACAGGCCACGCTATTTCCCCAGCTCCCAAACTGAAATCCATTTCATTTGACTATGCTTCTGAGTGATCATATGTTAGAGAAAAAAAAATAGGCTGATGGGACAGAGCCTGATCATAGAGTCATGTGAATAAGAGCAAGCCTTTGTGATTTTATTATGATCCACTCACACAGAAACTGACTGAGCAGAGACATTGTACCTAAAAGTACTGAGATTTTTGCACTGAACCTTTGCTTTATAATCAGAAGCTTGGGGAGCTAAAGAATTAAATCTTATTATGTATGGTACTTCACTTTGGGATTTGGAAAATGAAGAATGTGGATGATTTTAATGTTAAGTCCTTCCTTCAGAAATAGAAACCATGGAGTTTGGGAAGTAAAAGCATAAAACGTCTCTTTTTCCGTAACAGAGGGCATAAGAGATGTGCAGATAGATGACACGATGATGCAATGTAGCAGGCGACAGAAGTCAGAGATAATCTCCTTCCCAAACGCCCAGGTAGTTACTCAGGCAGAAGCACAATTCCATTCCAATACAATGAGCAAAGAAGGAGGGATCCAATCTAAACCAACTAAGGTCCAACACAATGAACTAGTGGGAAGGGTGACACGTCCTGTGTGCAACAAGAAGAAGCTGAGGACATGTACACTGGCTGCCAAGTAACGTCTACTGAATATTCACTGAGTGAAATCAATTTCTGTGTGTCAATCTAATGGTATAGCATCAGAACGCTACTGAGCATGAACACAGTACTGTCAAAAAGTGCAAAAATAAATGCAATGATTGCTTCAAGTGTGGAATTATGTTTCTAAGGAAATGACTTCTTGTCTCAAGTAGCTTAATGTCTTAGAGACATGACAGATTTCCCTCATGTACTAAAAAGCAGACTTAGTCTTCATTATTGAGAAATCATTCAAAGCTAAAAATATATGGTGCTATAGTACTCTATTCCAATTTATTTATTAGAACATTAAAAGCAAATTAGAATTTTTTATAATTAAACTCCATATCTATCTATCTATCTATCTATCTATCTATCTATATATATATATATACCCACTAGCAAACTTTTACAAGGTTTTATTAAAAGAATGAGATTGAACTCGTGCTGTAAGAATAAATAATGAAAATATTACTTCTTAAAAGGATAAGCATTTTGCTGTTTGTTAAGGCCACAGACCAAAAGTATAAGAAAGAATGTAAAGGACTGAGAGCAATATAAAAAAGAGTTCTTAGGAAAGAATTGTACACATTGAGCATTGTCAGCAGAAAATCCTGTAGAAGGAGCTTGGAGCTCTACCTTGAAAGGTGCCAAATTAAAGAGACAGCAGTGCTTCCATCAAAGAAAAATTTTCTGATTGCCCTTCATTGTTCTCAGATAACTTAAAAAAAAACACCTGCTTAAAATTGAAAATACTTTAGAAGGCTTTGGAGATGACTTAGTAGGTGAGAGCACTCCCTACACAGCTGTGATGGTCTGGATTCAAACTCTCAGAACCCATGTAAAAGCCAGGCTTGACTGTGGGTACCTGTAACCCCAGTGTCTGAGGCAGTGATGGAATTGCTGGGGCTTACTGGCTGTCTGCCTTGCTCTTGGCTCAGTAAAATACTCTTTCTGAAGAGAATAAGATAAAGGATGTTAGTGAAGAGCATTGGAAATCCCCCTGTGATCTCTGCACATGTTTGGGCATATACTCACACACATTTGCATATACCACACTTACATCACCCCACACATACATATGAAGAATATATATAGTGACAGGATTGGTAAATTCACACCTAAGATGTGTCCCTTTTTAAGTACTCCCATTCTCTTTTCTTATTTCCACCAAACTTACATTCTTCTTATAGAAATTAAGAGAATCACAAGTAAAAGTAGCTAGAAAAGCACTTAGCCTTCTGTTAATTCACAAAGACAAACACACTGCCCAAGGGCAACATTTTCCTGGCCAATTTACATCTAATACCTTGTGATTGCTAACAGTGCCAGTTGAGTTCATATAAGGAAACCGTCCAGGAATCAGTACTTGCATCAGGTTCAGGTTTAAAACTACAGAGCAAAATCATCAATGAATGCCCTAGAGACATTATAGACAAGCAAAGCATTTGAATGGATTAAGGAGAATCTGAGTTCTTTTGGGTTTTATATGTAATCACTTTTTCCTTTGATGACTACAAGCAACCTAATCAGGCAATTCTAGTAAGAATCATAGAATTACCTAGCCAGGCTGTGTGATAGTTAGAAATGCAAATTGAGTACTATATTGTAATTCCTCTTTTAGGATTTAACAAAGCATTCAACTAAGCAGTAAGCCACCTGAGTCTTCTAGCTATTGAATTTCTATGCATGTTGGGAAAGGTCTGACCACAATCTAATCCTGCAGTTGAAGGGAACTCAAAGTAAGCATTGTGGTAGATCACTGAAAATTGAAATGCACAAAGCATTCTGGTCAATATTCTTGGCTTTTGTTTATAAGCAAGACAGAAGTTATCTACTTTTTGAAACTTCTTTTTCCTTTTCCTCCTTGTTTCTGTTTCTTTTGTTTTCATTTAAATTAAAATGATGGCTAGAGGAGAATGAACTTATTAGAATTATAAATCACAAAGAAGTAAGAAAGTTGTTCAGTAATCTGTATAATTTAGGTACATATTTTCCTAACTTGACACTCAGAAACCCTTACCTTGAGCTCTGTAGGTCTACCCCATGCTATAGTTCCTGTTCTCCTTAGATTGGAGGCTAAGGAATAAAGGAAGTTATCACATAGTATGAATAGAGTCATGATAAGAAACCAAGATGCATATGCCCTGCAAACCAGTTAACTACACCTTCATTACAGAAATGAGAAGTGACTGAGCTTTTGGTGACAGCTGGGACTGTGCTAGGTAAAAGAGGACAGGGGTGGAATGCTACTGTTTAAAGTGATGTGTTTGGGTGTTGAATTGAAAAGGGGAGGACTTAGGATGGTTAATTTTGCTTGTCAACTTGATTGGATTAATAAATACTTAAGGTACTGGGAAAGAGAGTGTGGCCCCCTGGAATCTGTACAGGGCATATCCAGATAACAAATACTCAGCACAACAGAGATTTATTACCCTGGACAGAGACTGCAAAGGCAACTGAACCAATAGCTGAGGAGCCCCCTACTGGATCAGGCCCTCTGGATAAGTGAGACAGTTGATTAGCTTGATCTGTTTGGGAGGCCTCCAGGCAGTGGGACCAGGACCTGTCTGTCCTCAGTGCATGAGCTGGCTGTTTGGAACCTAGGGCTTATGCAGGGACACTTAGCTCAGCCTGGGAGGAGGAGACTGGACCTGCCTGAACTAAATCTACCAGGTTGAACTCGATAACTCGATCCCCAGGGGAGTCTTTGCCCTGGAGGAGATGAGAATGGGGGGGGCTGGAGGAAAGGCGGGGGGGGGGGGCGCTGCGGGAGGGGGGAGGACAAAGGAATCCGTGGCTGATGTGTAAAATTAAATTAAGTTATAAAATTAAAAAATACAAAAAAAAACAAGCAAGAGAGAAAAAGAACAAGAGAAGCAAGAGAAGATACAGGAACAAGAGAGCAGGAGAGGATGTTTCTGCAGGAGTGGGTTTTTATGGAGAAAAAGAAGTCTGTGCTAGGATGAGTTGTTAAATCCTGATGGGACATATTAGCCAAATAATGAATTTTAATTGTTAAACCCTTGGTGTTTTGATTCAGGAGTGAGTCATTGTCCAATGAAGAGAATAAACCTTGGTGGCTAGTTTTAGGAATGTAATCTAACAGTTCTGAGCAAGGAATACAGAAAAGCAGAAAGGCAAGGCCTGCCAGAGCTATTCGCCATACTTGGGCCTAATAAAACCCCTTCATTCCCATCCTTTTGTTTTATTAATGGTCCCTGGTTGTTGGGAAAGTAGGAGCTGTTCTCTCTGGCTGATTCCTGCTGACATTGGGTCATTGTTGTCAGTGGAACCATGAAAGCTGGGTTGCTGGACAAGGTCAGGAAGAACAGTCAATGTCCGGGTTCTGTGGGACCATCTGAGGCTATGGAAGTGTAGTCTGTTAGGCTGGATTAGGATATAGATTCTGAGGAAACAGCTGGGGCTGACACTGTAGTTGATGGAGCAGTCTGTAGTTGATTTGAAATCTATTGGGACAGATAGACTAGAGCAAAGGTAAAGTTAAGGATTTGGGAGTGGATTTTTATCTTGGATGTATATTTAAAATGTTTAGGTTCATAGTCTTGGTAGTTGGGAAAAGGAGTATCAAGACCAGTGAAAGTGGGAGATATCCTACCCTTAGGAATGAAAGGCAGGAAAACTTGGGCTGTCACTTTGCAGGAGTACTTATCTGGAATGTGTTTGAGAGTTCCTGAGAGGAGCCAACAACATTTAGATTGACTATATAAGGTTAATTGGGGAATATCTGTCATCTGAAACCAGGTTCTGGTTGTAA